CCCTTCTTTTAGTATTAAACAAAACTTTCTGCAGAATGGATTTCCTTGCAGGCCTTTAAAAAGAAACAGAATATGCAAATTCTTTCTTACTCTTTTTAAAAATAGCTGTATTTACTTTTAAGCCAAGTTTTGATGCTTTTAGCCTGTTCCTAACACCTCTGTGCATGCAACATTGCTTTGCCATGTGAAAAGGAAAACATTGCATTTTAGTTAAGCTAAACTGGTTGCAAGGTGTGCTGTGTTTTGGGATTGCCCCATTACTTTTGTCTTGTCCTGCTGGTGTTGAACTGTTATAGGTAACACATTTTTGGGGGGAAGCTGTGGTATAGGAGAGTGGGACAGGATGGGATACGATCCAGGAGGTTTCTCTCTTGGGATGGAAGGGAGTTATTTATAAACAATTGAAGTATAATACTTTATTGAATATTTTGGGGCATAAGGATTTTAAAATAAAAACTAGGTGTGTAAAACAGGTTGTGCTTAAATCTTGGGGTTTGTTTGTTCGTTTTTAATGAATGGTCTAATGCATATTTGTGGTTGTGTTAATTTTGATTATTATTTTTTTCATCAGATACATCGGACTAAGAACAAATGGAAGTTCTACTTAAAAGATGGAGTGATGTCCATTGAGGGTAAAGACCATGTTTTTGCAAAAGCCACTGGAGATGCAGAGTGGTGAAACCTCACTCCAGTATGTCCTTGAAGACTGTGGCATTATTTCCTTATAAGCCTTCTGTCAAACAACTGGACTTTCTATTGTTGTGCCATTAAAAAAAACCAAAACCAAAAAACCTGCAAAACAACACAGCTGTGATAAAAAATTCATAAAATCTGTGTTGTTAATTTGTGTTGTTAATCTGTTTATTTTGCAAACTAAACACTGTTCTGTTAGCTACTTAGGTGTCTTTGCTATTCTTTTCTGATTATTTCATTTTTTCCAATGAAGAAGCATCTTTGGTATTAATAGCTTTAAAGTTTGAAATGTTATATCTGCTTGTAATTCAAGAAAGTAAAGAAATACTAAGTAATTAGTAAAGAAATACTTATTGATTATAATTAAATAAATCTTAGTTTTGTTGTTTTTTAACTGGGGTATGACATGAAATATAATATTACACGGTTTTGTTATTATTTTCAAAGACTTTTGAGTTGAAAAGGAAAGCAATATCTGTGAATGTCTGAAACCTGTGGCTATTTCTGAAGCTGAACATTTATCTTGATTTTTTTTTTTTTTTTTTAATTCCTTTGTGTTTTTTGGATTTCAGTTTAAAGACATGCACTCTAGATGCAATAAGGGTAATGTCTGGGAAAGATCCTGGAGCTCTCAATATATGAGAATTATTATTGTTTGTTCTATACTAGCTATGTCTACTGAGATGCAATGAGTAGTGTGATGTAACATAAAAATGTGATTTATTTTCACTGTCACTGCAAAGTTATTTAAGTTTGCTACTGTACATTTCCACTTTGTTCTAGGACTACAGACCAGTAAGCTGTGAATGATACAAATTGTGCATAATAATAAAAGTGTCATCTCATATCCATTTCTAGTGCAGAGTTGTTTTTGTGTTCCCTCAACATAAACTCTACTTAGAGAAATGGGTACAAGCCATGCACGTGGCAGTAGCTCACCCTACCATGACAACTGCATTCCTCCCGGCCTGCAACATCAACTTTTTGTTAATTCTTCTAGAAATAAAGGTCCAAAAGAAGCTTTGGGCCCTTGTCTTTCTGAGCTGCAGCTTTTCCCTGGCTGGCTCCTGTTCTTTGTAGGGCGAGATGGGCATGGGTAAAACTGCAGCCAGGCTGCCTCCAAAGAGGATCATCCTGCTGTAAGGACAGTGCTTCACTAAGGCATGCCTCCCCCTGGCTACTGCTCCATGTCTGCTGGAATGAGATATTGTGAGGCATTTTGGTTATCTCTAATCCCTGAGAAGGGTGCAGAGGCTGGGAGAAGGGAAAGAAAAGAAAGGTGGGAGAGAATAAATGCATGGAAGAAATTAAGGGAAATACCCCTGCCCTTGTTCATAATGGTGCAAACCCTTGTGCTAATGCCATAAGGCAGGAAGTAGTTTTTTTAACAATTGTTGAGTTTCCTGTGTGCTTTTTTTGGGTACATCTGCTACTCTCCAGTAGCAAAGACAGGACATTGAAACTAGAGCACTTGAACCCTGTGTTACATTTCTTTTGTCTTTTATAGATGCTGCTGCTGGAATTTGAAGAATTGTGTATTCAGAGGCAATTAAAATATTCCAGTGTATGATTTCTTTTCCCCCATTTGGATGACTTGTAGCTGCACTGCTGCTACGCTTCAAACCCATAAATGCACAAGAAATGCAGCTCTTACCACATGATAGATGCTTTTAGGTTTCAGCATTCTCTCACAGGCTCTGAGGTGCTCATGCTCTGTAAATGTGCACATTATGAACTGTGGGACCATTTCCACTGTCAGAAAAGACTGGTAGCAGAGGTAGTATGGCACAGGAATCCATGAGACACAACTGGATATGCTCTTAGCACCAAAAAGGCTCCGAATGGCGCTTCTGAAGTTGACCTGTTTTTCCTGGTCACTATAAAATAACGTGGCTAAAGAGCACTTTGTTTTTAGCTGGTTTTAAAGATAACATTAGTAAAGAATTACAGCCTTGAACAAGACATTTACAACTAAATACATCTAAAGTCAGGAATTTTTATACTGAAAAAGCAATGCTTCGTATTTAAATGTAAGCTCTGGCCAGTGACTTAAGCAGTAAGCAGTGCTTTTGATCTGAATGGTTTATGAATTAATGTTACAGTTTAGCAAACATATTGCTGAAGATGTGACAGGATGAAGTGTGTAATATCAGTTATGGCCTTCAAAGATACTTCAGTAAATGGCTGTCTAAAACTTTACACCAGAAAGAAGGTAAAGTAAAAATAATGAGATTGAGATAGAATAACAAGTGTGAATTGTGTGAGAAGCTCTGGCATGAATCTAAATCTCTTATTAAAGTTTTACTTATTTGCTTACTTTTGTGTGTAGACAAATTTTAAGTATATAAGTTACATTTAATGTTTTGTCAGTGGCTTTTATTTCTTTTTCAAACAGCAGTTTTGTAGATGGTGGATTTCACTCCACTTACTGCAGGTACAAAAAGAAAAATGCCCACAGAGACACTCTTGCTGCTTGGCTGTTACCTCTGCAGCTCTGTAAGGCAGGTGCTAGCAGTTGTTGTTAATTCTAACTCATCTCCCTTGCATGTAGTTTCCTGACCGTGTTATGCGGTATGGAGGGTGTGCTGGCAAGCTCTTGTCCTGGTGAAATATATTGCAAGTAAATCAGTTATTGCCCACTTAAGATACTGTGCTGTCATGTCCTAAATCACGTGCAGGACTCTTCTATAAGATGTCAGAAGAAATGAGTCTCAAAAATCAGTTTTGAGATAGGTGACAGAGAAGTTTTAGGCCCAGCATCTATTTTTTTACACCAGCACCTTTGGTTTCTATTATAGTTAAATATTCTATCATAGTCTTATTTGATAATTGGCTAAGCTCAGGGCCTGGTGTGAGTAAAGAGGTGCATCATATGGAATTTGTATTGATTGTTAAATCAGAGAGTTTTAAGTCTCCTCTGCTCTCAATCCGGCTGCTTTCCCCACTTGTGGGAGCTGCTCGTGAGCACAGCTGTGCTTACATCCAGAGCTTTTGCACTGATGGAAATCATGGCATTGCACTGAAGGTAAGAGTGGGTCAGAGATGTTATTTCTAATTATCACAATTATGAACTAATGATAGACCAGTCTAATACAAAGAATTGCTTTCATTAATGTGAAGCAAATTTAGCTTGCAGTGCAGTGTTTTGGCAACAAGAGGAGTGCTTTGGAACTTAGTTGCTGTCACAGACTTGAAAGCAAAGGACTCAGCTGAAAAGGAGAATGTAAAAGGTTTAAAGTGATTGCAATAGTACTGTTCTTTTATGTATCAGACTCTGCATTTACTTAAATTAGCAGTGCAGTCATAAATCTGGACCAGGCATTTAGCATGATCACTTAGCATCAGGCAATGCATAGTGAAAGAAAAGAGATTTTAATGGGAAAACATTATCACAAAAAGGTAACTACTCTGCTACTCTTCTTCATCATCCGGGAATAGATTTGGATTGTGTGTGCTGGAGACCCTGGTGCATTCCTGAATGCCACTGGCACTGGTGATGTCAGAGTGGACAAGTGGAAATAATTTCTGAGACTATCCCAGGAGGGAAAATAAGGCAGCACTTCCTTGCCTGTGCAGGAAGCAGCTCTCTTGCTTCCGAGAGGGAGCCTGATTACCTGATTTGTGTGTGCACATGTGATACCCTAAATTGAGTCCTGTGTGCAGCAGGGGGGAGTTTGCATCTTTTGTGATTTCCAGATCACACATAGCTGTGTATGGGTTCATAATTTAAGTAAACTACCCACCAGCTCAGACTGAGATCTAATGTAAACTGCAAAATTGCCAGTGACAAAGGCTCAATAGATCAACTTTCCTCCTTGGTGACATCTTTACAGCCTATTGCTTGAAAGCTCTTCTTAAACTGTGTGTAGGTAGCTGTGTAATTGGAAGTTTCTGTTGATGAAATGGAAGTGTCTAGTTTAGTGCCTCTTTCTTTAAACCAACAATACACAGCTGATAGGAATGAAAAAAGAAGCCATGAAAGGTAGCAAACAGGCTTTAAATACTCCATGGAAGCAGATCTGGAGAAAAGAAGCCAGGCAATCACTATTAGCTTCAAGAGCAACTTGACTAGTCCTGGACTCTTCTGGTTCCCCGTACAGAAAAGTTTTGCCTTCTTCCACATCTATCACCACAAAGGAAGAGAAAGGAAAACACCACTTTGAACGTCAGAACAGTTATGTTGCATAAGAATTACTGACTGACATTTTTATTTATTATGGAATGTTCAAAATATTGTAAAACAATCCCTAGTCGCTAAGATAATCACAACTGGCCTGGCAAAGTGCTGCATCTCTTGGCACTCTGGGTTAATTTTCTTTGTGAGATGTCTTGTCCTGTGGTGCAGGATAGGGCTTCTCTAAGGCTGACAAGAGCAGGAATGCTTGGGAGGCTTTACTGGGGGCTGTGGCTGTGCCGCCGTTCTTGCAGTTGGAGTTATAAGCAGAGAAATAGTTCATCCTGTAGAGCTCTGCTCGGCTCTTGCAGCAACCAAGCTTGCTCAACAGCAGAAAGAAATCCCTCCGAAACGCTTTGGTGAAAATCGCGTAGAGAAAGGGGTTTGCGCAGGAGTTGACGGGGTAAAATAAAACCAGCAGGATCTTGGAGTTGGTCACTGTGATGAGAGGAACTTTGAAGGCAGCAGATATAGCAAAAAAGGAGATGGGGGCCATGCAGGTGAAATCCGTGAAGATCAGTATTGCCATTCTCTTGGCGACCTTGGTGTCTTTATTGGCAGCGACCAGCTCTGGGTTCTGCACAGCGATGTAAATCTTGATGTAGCAAGCACAAATGACAATGAAAGCGACAACATTCAGCACCAAGATCAGCAGGATGTAGGCTTGGGACAGGCCCGTTTCGATATCCATGGGCAAACAGATGCTGACCTTCATGTAGCTGCTGACCCCGAAGAGAGGCAGCACGGCTATCCCAATGGAGAACAGCCAGCCCCCGAGCATGATGGGCACGGCATGGCGCAGCCGCAGCTTGCGGTCCAGCTGCATGGCGTAGGTGATGGTGTGCCAGCGCTCCAGGGTGATCACCGTCAGCGTGTACACCGACAGCTCGCTGGCAAACACCGTGAAGAAGCCGGCCGTGCTGCAGCCGCTGCCCGTCTGCCAGTCGATGGCGTGGTTGTAGTACTGGCCGCTGGTCTGGGCGTCCACGGAGGCGATCAGCAGCAGGTACAGCCCCATGCAGAAGTCGGCGAAGGACAGGTTGCACATGAGGAAGCGGGGGACAGTGAGCTTGTAGTGGCTGGTCAGGAGAACGAGGAGCACGGTGAAATTGCCGGCGATGGCGAGGATGTTTATGAACCAGATCAGCACTCTGAGGAAACTGTATCCCAGGATGTCTTCGCAGGGATTAAAGGCATCTGGTTCCGGAGTGCACGTGAGGACTTTAGGCTGACAAAAGTCATACTCAAAGTCAAAGCCGGCCATTTCGCTGTCATCGAAAATGGTAGAGTAGCTGTAGGGAGAACTTTCATCATCTATTGCAAAGGGGTGCGTGTTCCTCTCCACTGACCACAGCAATGTGTTGTTGGACTCATCTCTGTAACCATGAAAAAAACACCCCCCCAAACAGAAGTGAATTATTTGTTACATGCTACTCGCATTCTTTTGCAAAAGACAACAGATAACAGTTTTTTTAAAACAATGACTTCCTCCATGTGTTTCTACAGGGTGTTTACAAATAACGAAGCCTTGTAAGGATGCTTTGTGTTTGGGAAGCAGCCTTGGAGAGCAGCAGGGGTCACAGTCCCATCCACAGAAATGCTCTCTTATACAACTTGCTTATTTGTAAGTACTTCACTTTTAGTGCTCTGTGACGGAGCCATGGTTCTCATGCTGCTGGCTGGCTGCAGTCCAAGCCACAGTAAAACTTGGGCTGATGGATTACAGGTTTGATACACAGAGGTTTCTTAGGCAGTTGCAGAGGCCATACTAAAATAACCTATGGATTTTAACTGTGCACCATTGCTCCCCTTAGGAAAGGCACTTAGCAAACAAATTCCTGAGACTATGTATGGCTTGAGAGGTGCTGAGGAATTTGCTGCATGCAGTATTATAGGGCAAGGAGTGTGGTTAACTAAATCACATTGATAGCTAGGAATTTATTAAATTTAGGCTGCACCCAATTCCTAATAAAAATGTTGTAGGTTTAAAAAATAGACTGATAAAATCTCTAGGTCATCAAGAGTGTGGTGATAAGCCTACCAAAGAATAACTTCCCTGCCATAACAGGTGCCTATTTCTCAACTTTTCAATCATTGCAACTGTGAGTGTTTGGTGGGCAAACACTCAGTCTGCAGTGTGAGACCTGGAAAATATCTCTGTTGAGGGCAACTCTTGAGAAAACTGGTAGCTTTAGGATAATTTCTATACATGCTTAAGCTTCCACATCTACTGAAGCATGTCCATTAAATGATATTTCTGCGGCAGGGTCTTCTGGCAAATGAAACTGAGCTGCTTTTCACCTATTCCTGTGGAGCAAATAACATCCCAAACTTATTATCCTAACTCTTCTCTCTGTATATGGAAAACTGCCCAATGTCTTGCATTTACTTGCCTGGCTCAAACTGGAAGAGCAGGGAATACATTTGACTCTATTTACTTATAAAAATGATTGTGATTTTCTGAGAGGCTGTGTGAATGTGCTGCTATGTGCAAGCTGTATTTTTGTGGGTTTTTTTCTTCTTACTAATAAGAATTCAGGACTTTCAGATGATTTCTGCTGTGGTTCTGCAGCCATTAAGCCCATGAACCATAACCTTACTTTCACTTGCTTTTTATAAGAAAATTGCTGGGATTGGGATTTGCCAAAGCAAAAAGCTTCAGGAGCCAATAGGCTAGGCAGATTACTTAATGCATAGCAGGAGAGCAACAGATGCTAATCCAAAACAAGCAGATAGATAAAACCAAATGGCAAGTGTAGGAGGCCTCACCAACCAGCAAGATAATGTCCAAGAAAGTAATTATCCCAATGAGTCAATCATATTTCAGCTGCATATAGCCATTGGAATTTTGTGACCATAACCTTGTTTCTTCTAGACTTTAGAATGCTTTGACGCCATGTCAGGGCTGCTAAGAAGTCCCAAGGTCTCCCATTTATAGCTGCAGAGGGATGAAGAATAGCAAATCTTTAAACTTCTCCCTTAAAAGCTGGGCTAGAGCCTGTGTCATCCAGCACAGCCAACACAACAGTTTTGATTTTAGCCTTTCTCATTGTCACACTGAATATTGTTATGTGATGATATGAAAAGACATGTTTAGATGGAGTAAACCACTGGCACGGGGTCATCACACTTCTAGCTCAGGGACTCCATTCTACTGTGGAAAACTATTGCTATGCAGAGTTCTAATTATCCTTTCTATAGGAAAAAAAAAGTCAACAATAGCAGCTCTTCTTTGAATCACACCAACAAATGCATTTATTTAGAGAATGGAAAGTCTCCATGTAGGCCACTAACTTCTGTAAATATTTAATTATTGTTTTGAAGCCCTTTCAGAATTCAGAAGACAAACTGGAATGAGTAAAGCTTGTGAAATCATGAGGGTTTTTAATTCTCCTCTCCTTTGGAACATCCAAATCTTGGTCTAATGATAGTAAAATTACCACTGTGCAACCTGAAGGGGTGACTGAATTGGCAGGCAAAGACCTGCTTAGTGAAAAAATATGTGAGCAGGTCTGTATTTGCTACTGCCATCATCTCTGTGCAGAGGTACTTACAGCATTTCGTGAGTCGGTTTCCTCATGGTGCTTTCACACTCCTCGGAGAAGTTGTCAAAAATGGAAAGCAACAAATTCTGTCTGCAAGAAAGATGGGAAGAAAGTTAAGTTGCAGGCTGGATTTTGGCCAAAGCCTTGTCTTCTCTGCATGTAAGGTAAGCCAGCACTGGCCTCAAGGCAGCACAAACGTTCCTGCAGACATCTGGAAGTGGGAAGAAGACTTCAAATGCTGTGAAGATAGGCAGTGTAAGGATGTGTAAGGTGTGTAAAGATGGTCTTTCAGTTTGGATGTATTTTTTTTATAGTGGAATAATTTGAACTGGAATTTAAAAGTTAGTGTTGTGAAATACTGTAAAGAAGTGGGCCAGATTCTCCACCATGATGAATGGAAACAGTTTGGCTGGCTTTTGGAAAAGTGCTTGTTAACAGCTGCTGGGAAACTGGCCTGATACAGAACCACAGAATGGGTCAGGTTGGAAGGGACCGTGGTGGGTCAGCTGGTCCAACCTCACTGTGTCATCCTAGAGCACATTCCAGACAGTTCTGGAATATCCCCAGTGAGGGAGACTCCACGCCCTCTTTGTGCAACCCATTCCAGTGTTCGTTTACCTGCACAGAGGGAAGCTCTTCCTCATATTCAGATGGAACTTCCTGTGCATCAGTTCCTGCCTGTTGCCTCTTGTCCCATTGCCCAGAAGAGCCTGGTCCAACCTCTGACCCCTCCCTTCAGATACAGACACTGATGAGGTTCCCTCTCCAGCCTGGGCTGGCCCAGCTCCCTCAGCCTCTCCTCAGAAGGGAGATGCTCCAGTCCCTGGATCATCTCTGTAGCCCTCCACTGGACCAGCTCCAGCAGCTCCTTGTCTCTCTTGCCCTGAGGATCCCTGAACTGGACACAGCACTCCAGACTGGCTTCACCAGGGCTGGGCAGAGGGGCAGGATCACCTCCCTGACCTCCTGGCAATGCAGTTCCTAATGCACCCCAAGATACCATTGGCCTTCTTGGCCACAAGGACACACTGCTGGCTCAGGGACAGGTCCCCAGGTCCTCTCCTGAGCTGTTTTCCAGCAGATCAGTCCCAAGCCCATACTGGTGCGTGGGGTGGATCTTCCTCAGGTGACCCTATTTTAAAAATTGTCTGGTATCTGGAGATAGACTTTGCATGCTTGAAGTAAAGCAGTTTGAATAGTTCAAGTCAGATTTGGCAAAATCTCTGGTTTGAGGCTTTGAAAGTAGCAGCCACATACTCCACCAGTATGAATGGAAATGGCTTTGTCTCACCTCATTGCTGATGCCCCTGGTAGGGCAGCAGACATTTCCAGATTTGCATGAGATTTTCTCCCCAGCAATTTACTAAGAACACAGTCACTTAATATAAGAAAGTGACTTACTAAGGCACGCCTGTTTTTATAGACCATGCTCGTGCTGCAAAGTCAAGCACCCAAAAAACAATACAGTATCAGAAATGTAGTTATCTTTATTAGAATAAATACATTCTTTTCTCTGCCAGAGTTGCTCCTGGATTTAGTACACTGTGATCTGTGACTGAATAAGTTCATTAGCAATGGAAATGCTTGACAGTAGAATCTTTGTTCTGTTCTTACAGAATCAAGAACTCTTTAGTAAAATGAGGTAGGCAGAGAAAGCATAGGTGAGCCCCTGATTTTACCCTAAAGAACTGGAATCTACTCCTGCCTTTCCAGGATATCCCTTAAGTGAAGGCATGGGGGTGACACTGATCAGGCCTTTCACAACTGCCTGCTCAGTACATAATTTCTGTGGTCATCACTTGAGAAGGACAAGAAACAAGTCACCTTCATGGTTCAAACAAAACTAATTTGGGGTTGCTTTGTCTGCCTAAAGCCAACTGGGGGTAGGTTTCTTTGAAACATAAATGCTGAAAAATCAGCTCCAGTTGTCTCGGATTAACTGCCCCAGGTTTGTGGATACAAAGATTTCCCTGTGCCATGGTTCCAGTTGTGGGGGGAACAGTACTGTCTATTACTTGAAATAGTTGGAACTAAACTATGTAATCTCTCTCTGTGGGCTTGTGGCAGGCACTAATTTTGGTGGGTAATTGAAAACTTGCCCTTTCTACTATGTCATCATATCACCTGTATTAATTAAGCTAAAGGCTACAGGGGTTTCATTTTTTTTAATTAGGACAATGTGCTGTTTGATAAAGGTTTGTCTTCTGTGTGCCAGTAGGCTTTTAATTGAGATACCAAGAAAAAGATAAGTTTTAAGCAAACTCAGAGTAATATTTCTGCTGGCAGATCCAGGGCACAGTATGGGATCCATTTCTGCTCCAAAATAAATGGACATAATTTTCCTGGCTTTAGCAGAGATTTGCTGTTTCCTGCAAGGCCTTGCAATGCACCACAGCTTCCCTGTAACTGGAATAAAGATAATCAAACCTTGTAAGCTGAATAAAGCAGAATTGCCATTTTGGAGCTTCTGAAGCACTGCAGTACAATAATGTGCTATTTGGACTTACTTTTCTGTCCTTAGATTTCGAAAAGCACAGCAGTGGCTGGGATATGTTAGGACAGCTTCCAGAAGACTGCTGAATTTATCCAGTGGTGGCAGCCTCTTTAAGGAGTAAGATGATGTTGCATTTAAGACCTGAATGGCCTCCAGCCCGTAACTAGGCAGGGACTCCAGCGCAGTTGAAGAAATATCCCTGCGAAACAAAGACAGCAGTCACTTTTCTTTTCATCCCTATAAAAATGCCACCAAAGCATGATGGTAGGTAACAGCAACTGCTTTTTTCACAAAGGTTCAGATCTACAAAGCCACTTCAGCATCTGATACCTAGCTCAGAGACACGGTCTGTGAAACTATAGAGCAGAAGGGTAAGAGCATCCCTGTGGCTCAGCAGCTCCAGCCAGGAAAGGAGCTCCCTTGGTCCTGGGTAAACTGAAACCCACCACTCCAGAGCCTATGTCCTGACCTTTCCATTTGAAATTCATGCATGGAGTGAGGGACGCCTCTTTAAGCCAGAGACAGGGAGAGAAGAAGGTGGGCAATAGTGACTCTCCAGCCAGCTAACAGGTAGGACACCCTCCTTGCTCTCTGCTTGGCTCTGAAGGGCTGTTCTACGTGCTTTAATTAAATGGATATTAATTAAAACCCCCAGAGAATCTGTCATTCTTGCCAACACAAACTTAAGCAGTTTGGCTTACAGTAACTTCAGAGGGGCTGTTTGTGTGAAGGAAGTCCATCAGTGAGTAAGGATTTTCAGAGTCAGTCTCTGAAACTTTGTTTAATTAAACAAAGGAAAAAAGGCCCACAATTCTGAAAGTGATATTAGTAATGCCATGTTCCATAAAGCACCAATAAAAGACGTGCAGCACAGAGTGCTATTTACAGAACCACACTGTATTTTATTGCATGGAGTTAGAGCCAGGGCAGCCCTCCACTAAGTCCTTGATTAATAAATCTTGAAGATGATAATAATGAATTTTATTCAGCATGAGCTTACAGCGTGCAATCAGCTGGTTCACTTTTATAAACAAATTCTGAATCAAGATATATTGCCAAAACATATCCATCCTACCAAAGGACAAGTTAGTTTACAATGTCAGAATATAAGATACAGGAACAAGATCAGGAGGATGTGACACAAAGCACAAACCAAAATGTCTAAGAGGTGGAGATCAATGCCAGCACTGTTTTCCAGGGTGCAAACTCCTTTCACTCTGTAATTTCATGGCATCTCGTTGACTTTGTACACAGAGGGTAAGAGATCAAATCTCCTTCCAGACTCGCAGCCTGTGTTTGCTGTGGTGACACAGCTCTGGTGGCAGTGCAGGGCACTCAGGCACTGCAGTGGCAGTGGATACTTACAGGACATCTGGCCCTGTGGCCCCTCTCAGAGCATCGTTGTGAATCCGCCTGAGGTTCTTGTTGTCCTTCAGGATTCTGTGGAACCGAAAATGAACTCTCTTTACATGTCTGTTTTAAAAATCACTCTTTTGGTTTCTTCTTCACACCTGTTTCAATTCTTTTTCCCACCACCGCAGTGGTTGTTTCACTGTCTGACTGGGGGGTGCTTGTATTTCCCATGTAATCTTTACTTCCTGTGATGCCATCAGATCATTATCATCTAAATTTAAATCTGATAAATTCCAAATTCTTCTGACTTAAGCCAGGAAAAACCAGACTGGTTCTTTCACTACAGAAGCAAATATACATTTTACCCAAAACAAGAGACTAATTCCCCAGCGTGTGAGAGGGATTAAAAAATTATTGATGTTTCCAGACATAAATTGTAGATTCCTTAGTCTGGGCTACTGTTTCAAGTGTTATCCTAATTTATGAAATTTTCTTAAGAATTATGAGCTTTTCTCACAAAAGCTGTACTATTTTAAGGGATGTTGTTTCAGGAAAAGCAGTGAGAGCTGCAGGATTAATGACTGAATCACAATGACACTGAAAGATGCAGTTTTCTCATGGGTATTGAGAAACAGAAGACACAGCCAGTTAAACTGAAGGAAGAGTCTCTGACTGTATTTAAATTGTTATTTACTGTTTAAATTACTGAGGAGGGATAGCATACTCACAATTGATTCAGCTTTGTCCCATTGAAGGCATGGCTGTGGATATCTTCAAATCCATTTTTATACAGCTTGCTGGAGATTGAATAAAAGTAAAGGAAAAAGATTTGGAAAAGGTGAGGTTACATTATGTACTACAAGTTTCAGACCTCGCTGCTGCATTCATTTTAATGATTAGAGGCTCTGCTTATAAAGAAGGAAGGGAACTATAGCTCTTAAATTAAGAAAGGTGCAGTTTAAATTTTCTAAACTCCTTCCTGCTGAGTTGCTGAAGAGAACTTCTGCTGAGGTACTGATCCTCCCCCTGCTGAGCTCTCTCTCCTGCCTACCTGGGGCTGAGATCCAGAAACAACACATGAGTCCAGGTAAGCTCCTGGCACACAGACAGCAACCTGGAGGCAGAAGACCTGGATTTTGTGGTGTCAGCAGGTGCAGATGGAAGACTGCAAGGCCTAGAGATGTGTCAGGTGGAAAGCAACTGTAAAGCCTGGAATGAGCTGCTGGATTGCAGATCCTCTGCGAATGGACAAATCTTCCAAGAGACAGCTTTGCAGAGAGGCTGGGGTGAGTTGTGCATCATCCAGCAGTCAGTGAGTAATCAGCTTTCCCAAAGTGATTTGGGCTGTGGAAGCCTTGCTGTCCCCTGCACTGCACAGGGACACTGGATGCCACCCTGCTTCCTGATTCCCTTGGGCCAGACACCTAAAGCCTGAGCTCTGCTACACCTCAGGTCCAGATCTTTTCCTTCATTAGGAGATGTAACCTATGGGTCTGTTAATATTCGTTTGTAATATTAAGTTCGTGTATCCAATGGAAATTCAATATAGTCACTTGTATATATTGTTTTTTTCTTTAATATTAAGCTCTATTAGAAAACTTGGAACTGTTTATGAATTAAACAACATTTTTGTTGCTTTTCCACTTGCTTTTGGGAAACACAAATTGGCCCTATGAAACCTGCTCCCACATCCTCAAGTGTGGGGAGCACCTGACTCCATTTGATAGATGCAGTACAATGCTGAAATTAGTGATAGCCTTAAAGACCATGACAATATGTAGGATCAATTTCCCAATCCACAAGAAACATTAACTGCTGGAAAGGCTAAATTAGCTATTTGCAGTGCAAAGTATGACTGCAGGGTGACTTTACACCTCCACAGATTACTTGTGTTTCACCAGACCCTGCTGTAGCAAGAGGAATTACTCCACCTAATTACAGCTAACCACATGGGGTGGAGTTAACACGTAGCTCTACAATTAGGAAGCTGCTGATAAGATAATTCTTTTCTTTTTGTGGTGAGCTCCCAGTCACAAAAGGATGGGAGAAAAATGACTGTTGCTGTTTTCTGACTTCCTCCCATTTAATACATTTAGGGTTACAGTAAAGACTTTAAGCACCTTTCTCCATCTCTTTTATGTTCATTTTCTTGCACCATTAGCAGAATCATAATTTTGCTGAAGTTATTTTGAGAGCTTGTTGGGAGGAAAGACGCTCATAAGATGAAATGGTGCACTAATCCAAGCAATTGCTCCTCTTTAGCGCCGTGCAGGAGTAGCATTCTGTCACATTTATACCCAGTTCCTCTCTCGTTTCCAGAAGGTATTGGTCAGTACATAAAATCTGGGTTAAAATTACTCTCATGCTGGCACATCAGCCTGATGAAGAGTCCATCAGCTGCAGTTCTTGCTCATGTGCACGGCTCCTTTGCAGGTGCAAATACCCATGGAGTTTTGGGCAGGGCTCCTGTTGGATGTGTACTGGAGCCTGGCCCCCAAAGGCTGGCTTCACTGGGCTCCCCTGGGGCCTGTGGCTACCACACCCAGTGGGTGCCTGCTGCTGCTCTCTGTGGCTCACAGGGTCCTTCCTTGGGAAACCCAAATTTCGGCCACCTCCTGCCAAGAGGCTCAGCTTGGGATCTCTCCTCTTCCAGCACTACTTTGTAGAAGTTTTTCTGAAGACAAGTGAGCTGTGAAGTCCATACAGAGTTCTTGCTGTGCTGGCAGAGAGGACATCTCTTGGCTTTCTGCTGCTTTCTGCGTTCCTCAGGTGGCATCTCATAGCACCACACGCACCCACCTCACAGGGGGCTGAAGCAATGAACCCACTGTTGGCTAAAAGGAAAGTCTTGGGTGTGGACACTTAGGAAAGTAAGCTGAGGCAAATGAAATCAGAGTAAGAAGCAGCATCTGTAGTTTACATCAATTTCTTCAGTGTCTCCATCCCTCCTCTTCAGAGGGACCCTGTGCAGCTGAAGCTCAGCTCCCTCAGACTGCTTGGTCCCTGAAAGCAAGGTTTCAAGAAACCACATCTCTGAGGTAAGAAAAACGGCTTTGGCCTTCAATGCAGTTTTTGTAGTCAATATCCTGCTGATGGTATTTTTAAAAACAACATTGCATGGAAGATGAAAATTTAGATCCCTGGTCCTATTTTCTTTCCTAAGTGAAGTTATCTTTTGGATAAAACTCTGCTCTTCATCTTGAAGAACATCCCTATGTTTCTTAGGCATTTAAAATTCAACACACAATACATATATATATTTTAGAGGGCTTAATGTCAAGATTTTCATGAAGTCGACCCACTTTCCTCAAGCAGAAGTGTTATCCTCGCAGAAGGAAGTGGAGCTAGGATTATTTTACTCACAGTGTCAGTGATTCATTGTTCATCCCTTGGAAAGCATTTTGTGGTATAATTGTCATACGCAAGTTATCACAGAGCTCCCTTTGGAAGGAAAGAAAAAACATATTTTTGTCAGTGACTCAGGAACAAGATGGAAAACACTCATATCTGGGTTAGGATGAGTCTCTACTTACAAAATAAAATGAGCTTCCAGTGAGAAGATCTGTGTCAGGTCTGGAAATTTTCTTATTCCAGTGTTACAAATGCTCCTAGAGAAAAGCATAATTCTCATTTGTAGAAGAAATATTACCAGAGTGGATGCAACAAGAAGCTGACTTGGTAGGTCTAAGTTTAACAGTGCTTTTAAAAGTGACTGACAAATCTAATTTTTTAAGTAGGCTCCAAAGGTATTTGTAAGGCCTGTAAAAATAAAGTTTTTAGAAGTCTCAAGCAGTGTCCTAGAAGAGCAGCATATGTCCTTACTACATTAAGCATGAGGAAGAGATTTTAGTGACATCTTTTATTTAGTACCCTGTTAGTCTGAAAGCTTTATTCTAGAAATAAGCACTTACCAGAACTACTTTGCAGACTTCTGTTTTGTCCATCCCTGCCCTGCTCTTGTACACTGAAAGACCTCACTATTGGCTAACTCCAGGTTAAAGCTATTGTAAAGAGTATGTACTTCTAGGATATTGTAATGCATAAAAAACCTTTTTCCTTACACTCCTTAATTTGATTTGTCTACTCCTTTGGAGAAAAGAATAAATAAAGCAAAGAGAGAAGGAATAGAACTCTTTCTTACAAGTATTTTAGCCTTGGAAGATTTCTGAATGCTCCGTCCTCAATGTGCAACAGATTTTTTGTGTTCAGGATTAATCTGTAATGAGGGAAAAATATTTCAGTATTAGAATCATTATAGATTTGGGAGGGCCCTGATTTTGCTTGTGATTTACTTCCTTAGAAAACAGCCTGCAAATATGCTGCTGGATGCATTTTGAGGCACTGTTGGTAATACAAATGCACTGCAATTTTTATGCAGCCAACAAAAGATAACTGCCTGAATTCTCATGGTTCTCTGAGCTAGTCTTGGTTTGGATATCCTGGTCACTGGTGGGAGTTAGCATTTTGGGCTTGGACATGGCGCCAAACCTGGACCTGAGTGTGTGTGTGTGTCTGGTCCTTTGTCTTGGCTTGCAAAGCAGGATGTGACCAAAAGTATGTATTCTATCACCATCTGTTAAACCAAAGGTGGGGCAGTGTTCCTTATCTTTCCCCAACCCATCCTTCCTCCAGGGAGATATCTTCTGTTAATGGGCCATTGACTGCCACTGCATGACTGATAAAATTACATCATCCCGTTGGGAGATGCTCCATCCTGGGGGAGGAGCCAAGCATTTCCTACCTAGGTAAAAACTGAGATTGGGAACATCAGAGCAGCTTTTTTCCACAGGATTCCAGAGGAAAACAACACCCTTCTACATCATCACTGGAACTTTGGAGGAAAACTGCACCCTTCTACAGGAGCACTGCTTCAACAGAACCACATCTGTCATCCAGGAGGATGCAACCACCATTTAATGGGACTGCTACCAGCACCCTGATAGGGTGTCAGGTTGTATTCTGACTCTGTCTGTGTTTTTTTGTTTTGTATTCTGTATTTTTATTTTCCTAGTAAAGAACTGTTACTCCTATTCCCATATCTTTGCCTGAGAGCTCCTTAATTTCAAAATTATAATAATTTGGAGGGAGGGGATTTATATTGTCCATTTCAAGAGAGGCTTCTGCCTTTCTTAACAAACACCTGTCTCTCAAATCAAGACATCCTTGCTCCACAGTCAGATCCCTTCAAATCATCCCTTGTTTCCATTACGTTATTGATGTTCTTCCTAGCCAGGAAAAGCAGTTCCTCAGATAGTTTAACCTCTTAGGAGCACTACGGACTTCCTTAGAGCAGTGGTTGGTAGGAGCGGATCAGAAACTGGGAGAGAAATGTGTAAGAAGTCCTATTTCCTACTGGTCACTTAACAAACAGGCAGATCTCTAAACCAAGGAGCACTTTCTGCAGCAGAACTATCTGGTAAAGTCCTATTTGCCCTAAAGGCCAATAGCTATAGCCCAGCTCCTTCCCAGTGCATGACTTACAAAATACAAAGGTTTTAGCATGTGAAACATTAAGAAAAATTGAAATTCAAGGATGCCATTGAACTCACTACCCCGATCATCCATTGAATGTGGACTTGAGCACAGCTTGGGGCATCAAGCCCTGGCAATGTGAGTCCTGCAGAGCACTCAAGATTCAAGGAGGTTTTCTTGCCAGCTTCCTGTAGCTCTTTAATGGCCTTGCTTAGCTTTTGGGTTTTGGAAGGCAGGCGTAAGACAAGCTATCCACAAACTGTAGGTGAATGCATGGGGTCAAATCTTTCATTCCTTCCCTAAACACGCCACTGATTCTAGTGGAAATTGGACTCAATCAGAGGTTGACTAATCTGTATCCCTTGCCTATGTGACTAACTGGCTTCAGTGATGTTCACATTAAAAAAAAAAAGAGATGAATTTGTCTTCACTCAGTTGCACAATTTTCAGCCACTCACTACTCATGCTGTGCGAAATAGGCAGTAATGAGCTATTGAATCAGATTTAGAGTTCCCAATTCCACTAAATATTTCAGAGCATTCTCCTAGTCATTGCTTTTAACTCTCTCTCTCAGATGCCTGTGCTGTGGAGGTCAAGTTTAAAATCAGTATGTGTTCTGTTTGAGTAATATTTTAGTGCTCCACAGAAGGGCTATGCATACTAAGCAGCTGCATTTAAATAATGTAGGGCTTTGAAAACGGCATCTTCAAAAAGAAAGATTTTTCTCATCTGTTGTCATCTCGAATTATTTCCCTGCTTAGAAAACCTGACAGTGCCAGAGCTCCACTCCTGCCACTGAGCTCACTGAAAGCAGTGGGACTCCGTGCAGGGAAGTCTCTGCATGAGTGAGATCTCCAAGGCCAGGCCTTACAGAGTGCTCACTATTTTATACAGTACTTTGGAGAGAAGTGTTTCTCATCACAGATCTCAATCAAAGGAAATCGAAGTAACAGAGACAGATTTGGTCCAGGAATACTTCTCTGCGGACTGTTTACTCCTCAATGATCCGAAACCACAACATGGATGCCTTTTTTTAACTGGTGCTCACATTTCAGACAAGGTGGGAAGGCTGTCAAAGGCACTCGCTTCTATTCTCTCCAGGGAGTCGCTCTGAGAGATTTCACTACAATGAAAACAGCAGACACAAAGCAATACATTACCAGAAAAGACCCCAGCAATCAGCTTTCCACTTTGTATTTCCTCCTTTTATGCACACTTGTTCAGCCTCTCCTATCAGTCTTGTCTGTGCCTCACCTCAGACATCCTGGCAGGCTGTGCCAGTGGGGTTTGAGCATTTTTCTGTCTTGGCAAAAGAGAAAGCCAGCCCTTAGGAATAAGCACTGCTGTAACCAATCTCCATTTCCTCAGCAAATTGCAGGTATGCTAGAGACTGAAGGCCAGAACTACTGGCAACAGAGCAAGTCCAAGCTTTGTGAGCCTTTTCCTCCCTTCCATCATTGGTTCTGCTTTAGTGAATTTATTTGCAGGGTGAGGACATGGATAATGTTCACGGTGCTTCATATGATATTATCAAGTCAGAACTATGGTCATCTAATCCACAAATATAGAAATACACAGATATGCATTCAGCACCCTTTATGAACAATTTTTGGATTTAAATGCCATTTTCATTACTTGTATGCAAACTGAAAGGAAGTGGCTCTTTTCATCATGACACAGACCAACAAGACTGTATTTGGTGACACTCTCAGACTGTGATGTACAGATGCTCCTATTCCACATGTGTACTCAAGATTAATCAATACTGACATAGAAAAACAAAATCCACTTATTAAATGCTTGTTAAATCCTTGTTAGATTAAGATCTAAGAGGCTATGCAAAACTCAACTCTGAAAGTAAATAGTATACATTGATGCATATATAAGGGAAAGATCTTCAAAATTTCTCAAGAGAATTGACTAAAAGGACACACAAAATAAACCTAAGATTATACAGTCTCAAGAAAAAATATTTTTCAAACAACTGGAATGTGCCAGTATTGCCACAGTTCTGAGTGATAGCTTAATTCAATTGCAACTATGAGAGGACACCTCAATCCCTTAGACAATACAGAATGAATTCTGTATTTCATTTGTAATGGCAAAGGGGAATGCACACTAGAAATCACATAATTAATGTGTATGTGTGTCTCAAAGACTTATCAAAGATTTTTTTATCATCATAATTCAATGAGAGTGTTATTTTTGGTATTGCACTGGTTACTTGTAAATAAAAGATGGATGTACAATAAGTGACCTGCTGGGCACCTAATTCTCAGAGATTCACAGGCTGGGAGGGATCAGTGACTGCTCAGAACTTTTTTGGGGTCTGAAACATGTTTCTTCCATGGGATCCTCCCTGTCAGCCACAGTTTTTCCATTTACATATGTTGGAATGATAATAATTTATCATCTTTCAGAGAGTGATGTGTTGCCAAATAGCTGACTCAGAGATTTATATTTATAAAATATGCATTTGTGAAAGTAGCACTAAATTGCAATAAAATGATGAAGTGTTCTACAAACTAACTTCAGAAAAATACATTGATTCCCACACAGTTAATTTGGAGAGACTCATTAAAAGCACACGAAAAGATCAATTAAATTCTTGTTATGGAAGGGAAAATGTCCAAGAACAAACCATTTTTTATTGAGAATATGATGAGTACAGTTCGAGAAAGTGTAGCCTCAAGTCATACAGGTAGGAGAAATTTTGTAGATTTAAGTTGGTCTCCAGTGTAAAAATGATTAACTTCTCATTAAACATTCAGATGCAAGTGAATGCAAGAATACAGCACCACTGGATTCTGCTTTAATACTGTATTGCAGTTGGATATGTTCAGCAGAGAAGTAGGAAAAGTGCACCTTGAAAAGAAAGCAGCACCTTCTGTGCTGCTGCTTAGGTTCTCAGGGAGGTCATTCCCCTGCTCCTCATTGCACTGCTCTGTCATCAACTTTGTCCTTTAGAGGCCACTCAATGCAGACAAAATAAAAAATAATAAATAATGGAGACTCAAGCATGCCATTTCAGCTGGAATGACAGCAGAAATGAAGGCAAGAGGGGTGAAAAGAGCCTTACAGTCCGAATCCTTGATGGAAAATAGGTACAATGCTGAGGGTAAAGAAGCAGCTCAGACCCAGAGTGCAAAATTACAGCACTTGCAAGCTGAAAGATCAAAGAAAGGGCTCAGTTCTACTGATCCTCTGCCAAGCTTATTTCTCACTGCAAAATGCTGAGGAAATGTCTTATTTGGGTCTTCTATAAATGTATAACCACCGAGTGCCATGGCTGTCATTGCAGAGGTAATGTTTGATGATAGAAATCTATCTCCTCTGCTAATCAAATGCTCCTCTCATCAGTTACTAAGCTGTATCCAGTTCTCACTGACATTATTAATATTTCATTATTTGATCTTTAAACAGCTGTTAAAAATCACACATTTTCAAAGGATCTTTTGCATACCGTTTACATGAAAAGGAACGCTATGTTTATCCTTCCCCTGTGGTTTTTTTTTTCATCAATAGAGTGTATTAGCCACATATTTTTACATTATTATAAAAGGATGATTTTTGTTAGAAATTAAGGAAAAGCCTATGGAAAATATTCACAACTTACATGATGAAGGTATCTTGAAGTCCTTCAAATGCATGTGATGGGATTACTTTTACAGGGAGATGAGTAAATGATCTGGAAAAAAAAAAGAAGAGAGGGAGGAAATGGTTGTAAGGCATGGGGTTTCCTTGTTTATAATTATACCATTATGGTAAGGAGAAAACCAATAAAGCATAATGCCACCTTATTTTTCCCTCAGTTCTCTGTACCTCTGGAGCCTGATCCATTTGTCATTGATCTCAGCTAAATGGAATTCAAAAGATATTGGGTCAGTTCCTCAACAGCATAAATCTGAGAGTAATCACCATCAAATCAATAATAATCATAACCTATTAAGTAAATTTATAGCCTGATGAAAGTGGGCTGCTACATTCACAGTTAAAGGAAGCTACGGGCTATTTAAAGCTAGATCCTCAGATGAAGTGGCTTTCATAGAAAACTTTCTCTATTAAAAATGTTTACTGCACCCTGTTCTCTTCCCAGCAACATCCCTGCAATGTTGCAGTGTGGCATCATGAATGTGGCTGTGCACAAAGTGTAGAAGAATTTAAAATCAGGCAGGTATAAGGGAATTATTTTTTTAAATAAATTGCATCAGTGTGGTTAGTTGATTCAAAGCAAGTGTGGAATTTTTTATTTTTTAGTTTCTCTGATTGATAAATTAAAGTGATGTAGGAGACAGAGCCACGTTTTACCATTCTCCACATCTGAACCACAGTACTTTTACCAGCCAATTTGCCTATCCATGACCACACTCTCCCCGATAGCAGCCATAAGAAAATATTTAACATATTTCAAAATGTTATCTTTGTGAACACAGATAATTGCTCCATTTTGCTTTAGAATGACAAATATCTAGTCAGACATTTGTTTCCCATCCTTAAACTCACCCCCTCAAGGATTTTTGACTGAAATGTTTTTGTGCTATTCACATAACCTGCTTTTTTTCATTGCTATCATAATCCTTTATATGCAGATATATGTTTATTGTTGTCAATATTTAGTTTAATGTTCATCAAGTTTTTAATATATATGTATATATTTTTATATATTTAAAAATATGTAATACCTACACATTATAAAGGCAGGCTGTCATGCATACTGTGTCTAGGGGTTACAAATCTGTATATACAAAGGAGCCTGGAAATCACTTCCTAGCTATGTGCAAAAGGTCTGTATGATATGGGGCAAACCATTTAGTTCCCTTGTCTCCCTGTCAGTAAACTGGGAATAACAATTCTTCCCTACCTAACAAGGGTGATGTAAGGATATACGTGTTTGTCATGCCATTATGATTGGGTCATACCTGTCTCTAGATTGATGCTGGCATGTTTTGCTGTGTGTTAGGTTTGGTTAAATCAGAAATGAAACTAAGTAATGCAGCTTGAAGGGTAGAGACTGGTAGAAGTAAGCTGCTGTTTAACACTCTGAGACAAAAGAAAAAGAACTTCAGGAAGAAGCAAAACACAGAAGCTGAGAAATTCCTGCTCTATAACCCTATAACTGAACTATCAGCTCAGGCTGCTTGGAAAGCAAAGCATACCTTTTGTGAAAATGCTTGCAAAACCAAAGGAAATGGAAATGTGACTGAAGGTGCAAAAAATAAAACTAAATCTTGGCTTTCAATTACATCAGGCCATGAGCCTACTACCTCCCTGTGACATGCTAGTGGGTGAGCAGCCTGCTGGTTGTAATGGAGATGGCTTGGAGTGACAGGTGATGATCCTCACGGTCCTTTTCAACCCAAACCATTCTATAATTCTATGACTTTTTACTGAACAACCCCAGCTCTCTCAGGCTGTCTCTTTAGGAGAGGTGCTCCAGCCCACTGAGCATTTTTGTGGCTTCCTCTGGCCTTGCTCCAGTGGGTCCACATTCTTCTGATGCTGGAATCCCTCAAGCTGGATGCAGCTCTCCAGGTGGGTTCTCACAAGAATGGAGTAGAAGGGGAGAATTCCCTCCCTTGCCCTGCTGCCCATGCTGCTTTGGATGCAGCCCAGAATACCACTGACTTTCTGGGCTGCCAGCACACACTGATGGCTCATGTCCAACCTCTCATCCACCAGCACCCCCAAGTCCTCTCAGGGCTGTTCTCAATCCATTCTCTGCCCAGCCTGTGTTTGTGCTTGGCATTGCCCTGGCCCACATGCAGGACCTTGCACTTGGTCTGGCTGAACTCCACGAGGTTTGCACGGTCTCAAGGCCTCGAGTCTCTCCCACCTCTCAAGGTCCCTGCCCTCCAGCATGCTGATCCCAGCACTCAGCTCAGTGCCATCCCCAAACTGAGAATGAGCTCCATCTCACCGACCACGCTGCTGACAAAGATGTAAATCGGAGTGGGTCCCAGTGTGACCCCTGAGGAATGTCACTTGTCACTGCTCTCCACTCAGACATTGAGCCATTGACTCACTCTGGGTGCAGCCACCCAGACAACTCCTTATCCACCAAGGGCCCCACCCATCAAACCCATCTCTCTCCAATTTTAACACATGGATGTCATGTAGGCCAGTGTCAAATGCTTTGCACAAGTCCAAGTAGATGATGTCAGTGGCTTTTTATCATCCACCACTGCTGTAACCCTGTCCTAGAAGGCCACCCAATTTGTCAGGCATAGGATTTGCCCTTAATGGCTGTCACCAATCACCTCCTTAGTTTCCATATGCCTTTGCATGGTTTCCAGGAGGATCTGCTCCAGGATCTTGCCAGGCATGAAGGTGAGACTGAGTGGCATGCATTTCTTTGGGTATTCCTTATTTCTCTCTGTAAAAATGGAGGTTATGTTTCCCCTTTTCTTAATTCCTTCAGGGTGTTAGCTTTCCTAACCTGATCCAGTCTGCTTAATTTTTCTGTGCTCCTCCCAGGCTACCTGTACATGCTTCCACCTGCTAGTCCTTCTTTTGGTGTTTGAGTTTGTCTAGGAGTTCCTTGTTCATTCATGCAGGCTTCCTGGTGATTTTCCTGACTTCCTCTCTGTTGGGATGTACCACTCCTGAGCTTGGAGCTGATCTTTGAATATCAGCCAGCTTTCTTGGGCCCCTCTTCCCTCCAGGGCTTTATTCCGCGGGACTCTGCCAAGCAGATGCCTGGAAAGGCCAAAGGCTGCTGAGTCAGAGGTAGTGAGCTTGCTGGTCCTGGCTGTCCTGAGGTCCTCAAACTCCATCATTTATGGTCCCGGCAGCCAAGGCTGCCCTTGGGCTTCACATTCCCCACCTGTCCCTCCTTGCTGGTGAGAACGAAGCCCACACTGCACCTCTCCTCCTTGGGTCCTCTGTCACTTGGAGACAGAAGTTATCATCAAAGGATTACAGGAACCTCTTGGATTGCTTATATCCTGCTGTGGTAGAAGTCCCCCTTGAGGATCAGGAATTGTGGATGTGAGGCTGTTCCTCTCTCTGTGTCTTATCTGCTCAGTCTTCCCAGTGGGGTGGCCTGCTCAGATTTCTTTCTGACAGCCCTCAGATTGTGAAACTCAGATATGGCCATTCAGCTGAGGAAGCTTTTGACAAAAAATGTTTTTACAAAGCTACAAAGCTTTTATACATCTAACTTCCCCACACTGCTGGCCTGACTTTTGTAGCTCATGAAAAGAGGGATGCACCCATCTTTAATACAAGCTGCCTGCACTGTTTTGAAGACTATTGTTAAAGGATAAATGTTTGCACTTTTAAGAAAACCTGTAAAGTTTCTTTCATCATAACTTTTATGCTTGTACTCATTGCTGTCATTCAGCGCTGACAATGCTGTGGCTTTACAGAATGGCTGGACTTCTTCTCCTTGGAAAAAGACAGAAAGAAGTGGAGAGCCAGCCAGACTTCCTGGCAGTCAGCAGACCTTGGCATTTCTATGTCATCAAGATTGGATTTCAAGGTACATAATTCTAGGCAGTAAGGTTTGAAATGGCCAAGCTAAATGTATTTAAGGCTATCCAGGAGCGTTGGAAAAGATAGGAACTGGCAGCACATAGACTCGAGCTCCAAGAAAAGCTTTTGAGAGCCCTGGATGCCCCAAGAGCTCAGGACCACTTGCAGTCCTGCTGAGAAGGAGTCAAAGCCCAAGCCCACTCACACCACTGGAGGAAATTGCTGTATTAAGGAACTGACCTTTTGCAAAAAGTGTTTAGTTGAACTGAATAATAAAATAAAAAGCACAGGCCCAACAGCAATAGGTATGAATTATTGTAGCTGAATTGGTTGTTATATTTGAATATGTCTGTTTTATAGGATTACTTGTATTTTTTATTGCCCAAAAGGTGAATGCATCAGGTAGACTCTTGTTGGCAAGCAAATTAATCTGTAGCAGCCTTAAACTTGGGAGGATTGGTAATATTGATTGAAACCACGGCTGAAAACCCACTATTTTCCTAGGATTTTTATCAGCTTCTGGGGGGCAGTGTAAAGGGTTGGCATTGATTTTTAAAGCCCTGCATATTGGGCATTATCTACCTGAAATGTGAAGCACCCAAACAGCATTTTTCACTAGGTGATGATGGGTGATATAATCTCCTATGGAAGACACTGAATTCTGACAATCCAAAAGAGCCAAATATGCCCCCAATGAAGACAAGGTACAGCTGTCTATTTCTTCAGGCTTTTGCCACAAAGTTTTGATATTTTTTGACATTGAATATTTTGTAATTAGGTGCCTAATCACTTGTCACTCACCCAACTGCAGAAGCTCTGCACACAGGGGCACACATTCAGGTACAGCAAAGTGAACCTCACCAGGAAATGAAGTTTTTGAAAGGACAAAAAGTCCTTAAGTTATTCAATGCCTATTGCTGCACAGCTGGAGTTGGGTGCCTATCCAACTAGACTTTGCTTAAAGCCCCAAAAGTACATATGAGATCTCAAAAAAAGGAAAATAATATTTTGTTTCAAAATATAATGGCGTATTAAAGATTATTTTTCTTTTGAGACTAAGATACATATAGCTGCTGTAGCCAAAGGGCATTCAAAGGTGTCTGAATAATGCAAGTTCTAAAGTGTTTGTGTAAGGTCCGAACGAAAAACAGGAACTTGAGAAAAATATGGTCAATTCAGGATTGTATGAACCTCATAATTCTGCAACCTGACAGTAGCCTAGTAATTTTGAAAATGTTTTTAAGGAATAATGTGACATGGCAAGAATAACTCGGGTAAAGAAAAATGGCTGAAATTTCCCTATGGGATATATACTATGGATATAACAAAGTATAAAAAATACATTTGAAAGCACAGATCATTACAGCATCAGATTTTACTCAGATATAGCTGGAGTTACATATTGGAGCTTATTTTCTTGACTGACCATACAGTTAAGAAGGACTTTTCTGAGTCTGGTTTCTGTGTTACAGTGGCACTGATGGAAGGACGTGGGCACCCCTGGAACCAGGTTGTGCTAGAACAATCTAAACCAGCATTTTTTCCCCAAATTATTAACACAATTGCAAGCACCATGCTGTGATTCCCCTGGTGCACGTGGGTACAAATGGGGCTATGAGGGGACAAAATTAACATTCTCTTGTTTTCTCTCGCATACACAGAGCTGTGCAGGGAAGAAGAATGCTAGGAAGACTGGGAGAATATGGAAAGAGAGGCAGTAAGCACTAACAAAACTCCAAAAACTGCATGAACAAGAGAGAAGGGAAAGAGTAAGAGGGAAGGGGAGACAACAACTAAATGGATAAGAAGAAACTGTTATGAAAACCAAAGGAAGATATGAAAGACAAGTAAAAGAAGTTGAATAACCGCTAAACAAAAGAGTGAGAATACATGTACACCTGTAGGGTTAGTGACTACATTCATATGTACAGCTTTAAAATTGTATGATGAATGCAAGCTTTCTATTAAAAAAATACAAAGAAGTAGAAATTTTAGTAGTATAGGTTCAGGTTCAATATAAATCAGGTTGGAAGCAAAAGGAGCTGGATAAATCTGTGAAAGACGGGGATTTTTTCTACCTCGAAGTGTAAATATTTTCTCTGGAGGAGTATCAAGCTAAATCTTGTTTGAACTCTTTTCTGACTGTAAAGTTGGTTTCTTCAGCCAGCCTAATAGGGGGACTTTGTGTACAATCATCAGGATTAAATGTAATATTGAAGGTAGAAAGGAAAATTTTTTCTCTTATTTTCTCTTCAGGTCCATTACCTAGCCCTGTTGCTCTCAGTGAGGCAGAACTGGCAGCAGCCATAAACCCATTATCTGTCCTAACGTGATCACTGAGGTTGAGATGTGGTTTCTTATTGGGGTGACAGATGGAAAAAGGAGAAATAAAATATGAAATAGAAACAGAGAAAGAATAAAATCAGGTATGTTTAGGGCTCTTGATAATCTCTCTGGGCTGTGATGTGCATTGTCCTAATAAACATGCTTAATCCACTGCTTGCTCTGCATGTGCTGTGAATACTGAGGAAGAAATGTGATGGAAGAGTCTCCTGCTCCCATTTGCTCTGCTTTCTCTGACACCAAAGTAACACAGGGGAATAAGGAGGGAACAAATCCAGAACATAGATTTTGCTAGAATGTCTGACTTTGGAGGAACGGTTCACATGGCTCTAGATTAATACAAATTAGGTTTTCTTGCTCCTATCCATTCTTGAGCTAGGGAGAAAGGGAAGAGGAGGTCAGGGTTAGTATCACCCCTAGAGAATTCCAAGAGCAAGTTAAGTTTACAAACAGGTCAGATGAAAATGGAAAACACAGGCTTTGTTGCCAAAAGGGTCATTATATGAAAACCCCGGTTTAATTCATGCAGAGATAACCAAGGGATCCTGGAAATGGCAACCATCCTATCAGCTGCTCCTCTAATCCCATATTTTGACGCCATGATTGTTTAGATCACGGCTGTAACTGAGCCCATAAACAATACAACACTTGAATAGCTACTTATATAAATTATTTGGTCTGGTCTCCTCGATTATGAGCTGTAATGTGTGAGTGGGGAAAGGGAATGCCCATGATGCCTTGTTATTTTAATTTAATCCTAATTCCTAGTAAAGCATTAAGCAGAACGTTATGATGGACCACCCTGCAGAGATCTAAACAGCTGTCAAAACTCAGCAGCTTTTTTACTAGGAGAGGGGGAAAAGAAATTAGTCAAAAACTTGTCAACGAGCGGAACCTCAAGAAGATGCAATCAGCACGGTGAAGAGGATTTTGATGCTTCAAGATAGAGGGGAAAATTAATCGCACAAACTTTGGGAGAAGAAGTTACAAGAAGTCCAACAGAGTTGCGAAAGAACAAAACAAACCCTAGAACTGACGGACGGCTTAAGGTGACTTCTCAAGATTTTAACCAAGTTTCTCTAAATCTAAGCATGCCACTACAAGGCGTTGGTTTTGGAACAGGAAAGGCAGTTTATGCCTCCTGCCACAGCGAGAGAGCACAGAAAGCCCTGACATCTGCACCCCTTCCTCTGGCACCGAGGCTACCGGAGAGTGAGACAGTTTGCCCTTGAGAAAAAGTCCCGAAAGGATGCGCGTCTCCTTCCCAAGGGGAAAACTCTGCGTCCGGGCTTGTTGGAACTTTGAAAGTTTGCAAACATCAGCCCCGCGTCCCGCACCTCCGCGCGGCCAGGGATGCTCCAAGCCCGCACGGCGGGTGGAAAGGCGCGGCAGTCCCGGTTCCCCGTCCCGTCCCATCCCGGTGGCCCAGCCCGTCCCGGTCCGTGTCCCATCGGTGCCCCGCGGTACTCACGCTCGGGCGGGCGCGGGCAGCGCTCCGTGCGGCGGGCGCGGGCAGCGCAGCGCTCCGCGAGTGCAGGCGCAGCGCCCCGGGCAGCGCCCACCCGCGCCCGCCGGCCCCGCCGGCACCGGCGGCAGCAGCAGCGGCAGCGGCAGCAGCAGCAGCAGCAGCGACGGCACCATGGCCGGCCCCGCTCGCCTCCCGCCGCCTCTCGCTCGCCTCTCTCTGCTCGCCCGCAGCCCGCGGGACCGGCCCCGCGCCCCCGCCTCCTCCGCCCGCCTCCCCCCGCCCCGGGGCGGGATCGCCGCCCGCCGCCGCGGGGATGCTGCGCTCCGGCCCCCGGGGCTTCCCCGGGAGCGGACGCCCTTCCTCGGCTGCTCTGACTGGGAAAGTTGGCTGCAAAGCCTACAGGTGGCTGGCAGAAAGTTAACATGGATTTTCAGCAGTTCTGGTCCCCACAGTCCTATCCAGGAGGGACCACGAGCGATGCTGCCCGTTCCTAGCGGAGAGCTTCCCGGTGCTCCTTCTTCCTAATGGGAAAGCTGTGAGGTGTGAGCCCTGCAAGCACCCATTTATCTGTCTGTGAACGTCTTTGTGAGCTCGTGCCTGAGGGAAAATATGCCACTTTTCTCTTAACGGGGTAAATGCTTATTGTGTGGATACAGCAGTCTCGTTAGAAGATGGAAGTGGTTGGGATACAAATGTCCATGTCAAACTGTCATTACTGCTGCTGTTGTTACTATTGTTTATTGGTACAACTGTAGATTCTAGAATCTAGAAAAAAGCTAGTTAGAAGTCAGGACCTTATTTATGGCGAGTGGTGGAGCAAGCCACCAAAAAGATAATTGTTCGCAAAAGTGGGCTTTGTAAAATAAGAGTATGGGTACATCCTCATATCCCTCTCTTCAAGTGTATCCAGGAAAAGTCAGAGTGAAGGAGGGAATGACCCAGCACCACATGGGATTTGTCTGACAACAATTCTTCCAACTTTAAAATCATGGAATCTAATAATAAGGCCTTACATTTCAGGAATAGAATGTGAGACAAGAAGGAGGCATGAGACATTTGGGGCATCTGTGTGTTCTCAAGAGGGACTGAATCGTGGGGAATAGTTAGCAACTGCTAGGAACTCCCCCTGGACTGGCCCTCAACAGCATGGCTTGTGTCCATCTGGACCAGCATCTGGAACCAAATATTGCACAGGAGGGTAGAGTGGCAAAGCCCTTCTTTGCTGTGCCCTCAAGAGCCCTACCATCCACTCAGCCTTCTTCCTTCAGTGTCATCTGCTCCATGCTGGCTGATAGTGATGCTAGCTTTTATCCTTGCCTTGCAATGGTTGTGAGGTGTGCTTTGTCACTTTATTCCAGTATGCTTGGCACACCCTTTAATCCAACACTACAGCAGAGTTGTTCTGATGGATGGTCTATCTAATTCCAGCTAGCATGTGCCTTTGTATTGATCTCTCCACCTCCTCCTCCCCCCACTCCTCATCATCTTTGAAATAAAAGAAAGTGATGGGGTTGTAAAATCAAGGGATCAGCTGAACTGAACCCAGCCAGGAAATGTAGGATAACGTCGTGCCCATGTGAGGATCTGCAATTTCCTTGAGATCTGTCTGTGTGCCACTGCTGACCCTTTCCTGACAATGTTGAACAGTAGCACGTTTCTGGGTTCCTGCAGCTTGGTTTCCTGCGGGAGGAATAATCAGTGTGGAAAAATCTGGCTATACTCTTGCATTATTTACATGTGCCCACATACACTGATTTGGGAAGGAGACAGTCAGAGGCCAAGCAAGAAAGTCCTGTCTCCAGACTCCTTCTGCCAAGTCACTGGGCCCCGAGGAGGAGCTTGGTTCCTGACTGACTGCACGTGCACTTGGTGTGGAAAAGCAAACACCCTTCTGCTGGACAGTTTGCCTGTGCACAAAACTGCCCATACTCCCAAAGGCAGGCAAAGTAGTGTATCATCATAAAAAATATCCAAAACTCAACAAAATTAAAAATAAGATTTGTTTCCATCCTGGAAGACCATGGGGCAGCAGCATGGCTGAGTGACACCTGCTGTCACTCTTTGCCTGGCAGGTGTCATGGGTTGCCTTCATTATGCACAACATTTGATGGTTTGCAGGATTTCACTGATGCTCAGATGTCTTTGAGGATATTTTTATTGAGGGTGTTAGAACAGTGTGTGGTGTTTGAGGATGTGACTGCTTTCCTCAGCAGAGTCCGTGCCAGGAGAGGTGGCACTGCTCTGCCTGTGTCATGCCTGGGAGACAAGGACCCATGAGTGGCTTCTGTGACCTTCAGGGCTTGCTACCAGGGTGTGATGGTGAATTGTGGGGACAGGCTGGCCTTGCTGAGATGTAACCATTTTGGGAAAAGGTGGTTTTGTGTCCTGCAGCCGTATGAGAGCTGGTGAGCTCAAGCTGCTTTGGGTAGGAGCTGCACTCTTGTCTTTGGCAACACCACCAACATAGCACAGGCTGCAGGGGAATTTCTCTGTCCTTACCTTCCTTCTCTTTTGCCTTCAGCACTTTGTCCTTCAAGTAAAGTACCAGTGGCTGTGAGGTGTTTTGTAACTTAAGGCTCACTGAGGGCTGGGTTTGTGCTAATATCAAGACATATCAGATCTGTGAGCCTCCTCCTGCCCATTCAGCAAGTTTGGCAGAGCATCACAGTTAGCTGCGTAATTATAAATTTATATTTATAATATGTGTAATTATGCTCAGGTGTGTAAGGGTATATATCTTGTGATCAAATGCAAAAGCAATTTAATGATCTGTAACAAACATACTTAATTGCATTCAGCCCGCTGATTTGCATTCAGCCCCCTGAAAGTGCCTCTGAAACTGGGAAATGTACCCATATATGTCAAAATATTTTTATGTAAATTCTTAAAAAAAAACCCTAAATTAGAATTGTAAGCAAAAAAACTTTATTTCTGATGGAAAGACATAATCCTTAATAATGCTGTGTGCACATCTATTTCTGAGTTAATATCTATTCAAGATGAATCAGTAATTATCTGAAGTATAGGGATATATTCATGTATAAGTGTTTAGGTGTTTAACCTAAACTGACATATCCAGTAGTAACAGCGGTTTATACATGGAGCAGCCTTCTGCAACTCTGTAACTACTATAAAACCACTATAAAGAGTTTCACACCTACATTCTTACATGGCTACATGATCATAACGTATGGCAATATATACATTTTACAGTTCAGGGAGCTATCTTTATTCTGGCAGTACTTAAGTGGGAACTTGAGTTCGATGGGTTGAAGATTCACTGAAGTTACAGGGAATTACAGATATGCTTGATGTTATTCTTCTGCTCAAATGCTGGCAGAGGCAGGGATTGCTTTACACATGTTGGAGTGCTCTCCTGAATCCTTGCCTCAAGGCCGCTGTGCAGAAGTGTACGTGAGCCCTTCTGCACAGAGGAATTGCAGGAGTGATAACAGCTGCCAGAGCTGCAGCTGTAGATTGTAGGTTTGCTCTGCACAGACGAAAAATGCCAGCAGGAAAACCCCCCCAGTCCTCACTCCTCTGGATCTGCCATTGACCTGAAATGTGGGGTTGATGGAGTAAGGACTGGCAGATCTGGCTTGGAGGAGCTGGTACAAGGTTTCTCACCCAGGGCTGCAGCCTGTCAGCCCACTTTATTCAGGAACAACCTAGAACTTGCAGTTATTGTAGACTCAGTTTAGGCCAGTTATTCTAATTTACTATCTTTCCTTCTCTTTCCCCATTTATTAACCTTAACATGCCTTTTTAAACTTCCTCAGAGAGGTGGTGCCAGTGGAATACTCCTGTGTAGAAAAAATTGCTTCTGAGATACAGAGCACAGCTAATTACAGTGCTACAATTAGCTGAATGCCCTTAACAGAGTCCAAGGGGGGAAATCATAGTGCAGCATCTGCTGTAACATATGCTTCCCTAGTTTCCAGAAGATAACAGTGAGCATGTAGGCTGCCATGGACTGTGCTTTCTGCCTGAAGAGCAGAGCAGCCCACAGATGCTCCAGTATTTCTTCTACGGGGACTCTGTTAGAGTCCTCTGATGCTGTGTACATCTGTCAGGAGGAATTATGTTGGGTGTTTTTTCGGCTTTAGTCTTCTACATGCAGACAGACTTATAAAGATGCAATGGTGATTCAGATCCCATCATTCCTGAGTGCACACTTCATCCTAAGGGCAGGTGTCACACCAAGAGCAGCACAGAGGTAACAGGCAGCATGGCACATCACAGGAGTTTGTGCTCACTGCTTTCTGTGTGAGGGTTTTTTTTTCTCGCTGTGGTACTGGAAAGATGAAGTGCTTTTCTGTGTACTGTTTAGTGAACTAAACCTAAAGTGGTTCATTATTTTCTATCCTATAGATTAACTTGGCCAGAATAGTTGATATAGCCCTACTAATATACCGCTCAATGTGCTGAGCTGTGTTAATTACTGTTGAATTAGAGCCGACAATGATTAAGCCAGCTTAGTCAAGTACGGCCTCAAATTTAACAGAAACCTTCAGTTCCTTTCCATTACCTGATTTTTTCATGACATTTTAAACATTTCACTGTCTTTTGCTTTAACCAGCCCCAGAACTACAAAAATAAATGCGTTTGTAAAGATGCTGTTAAAAATATGTCACTACAGCCACAAAGCAGCAAGTAGTAACTTTGGACCACATCCATCCTCCTGAGTACTGATTAATAGGAGAGCTTGTTTACAGAAAGTGTGTCTCTGTTATTTAGCCAATTACTTAATGATTGGCTTTCTTCCTGGTTTGTCTGGCAGCATTGAGCTATGAGTTGTGACAATTTCTGACCAAAAAAATATATTCAATTTTTGTGAAGGGCTTTGGCTGGGGTACATAAATCAGTGATTTACCTCAAGTAGAGGCCAGAGGAAGGATGCTGAGAGAGAAAGAAGCCTATGGCTCATCTGTAAGCATTGGAAAATAATCTGAATCTGGTCAGGTCTCTGTACAATTGTTACTGTGCCTCAGGACTTCACTGTATGTGCTTTCAGTGAAATGTCAGAGCTGTCAGTTCTTCATGAATGTGATGACAGGATTAGTGCTCATGTCTTTATCAATTCAAGGACTATGACCATTTTGTGGGTGTTCTGCATCCTTATGTGGAGGCTGTGAGTGCACTGGGGAGTAAATCCTGGGCTCTCAGCAGTGGG